GTATTTGCTAAAAGGGGAGTTAGAATTTGTCCAGAAATATACTTTGTGCTTTAAACCTTCATAGAATATGGGGCCTTAGGTAGAATCCTGAGCCCCACCCATAACCTTCAGAGCTGGAATATTTGCATTTGAAAAGACATGCAGACCAACCCTGAACTGCTGGAAGAATAGGAAATCCAGGACTGAAAGAAAACAGAGAAAAAGAAAAAAGCTGACTGTTTCAGATAAAGCTTGTTTCCACTAAGCTGTTTGCCTTGGAGGCATCAAGGCAAGAAAAGAATGTGCCCATCAGAGAAAATCCCCTTCTAGAACTGAAAGTTAATGGGAACCATTGAGAAGAGCTATATGCTCGCTTGCGACCACCTGGGTGTACTTGTGAGTGGAATTGGGGGAAATACAGTAATGAAGCCACAGAATGAGTTTTGACATTTTGTATTGATACCTGTTGATGTTGAGATGAGAGAGAGAAGAAGCAGATTTGATGCATTAGACATTAATGACTGCACATAAGAAGAGTTGTGACATGACATCAAGAAGAGGGTACATAAATGAGAAAAAAAGATTATTTAAAAGGTAGGAAGGGAAGAAAAGACCAACACGGATGTCGGAAGAAACTCTGAAACTTGCTCTTGAGCATAGAGATGATAAAGCAACCAGAAGAAATGAAGTAAAAGAACTGAACAGAAAATTTCAAAGGGCAGCTGGAGAAGACAAAGTAAAGTATCATAATGAAATGTGCAAAGACCTGGCTTTTGAAAACCAAAAGGGAAGAACACATTCAATATTTCTCAAGCTGAAATATCTTTAAAAAAAAAAAAAAGCCTCTGATCAGAACTTGACTAGATTTTTTTTAAAAGTCTTTTTTTTTGATAAAGGAACAAGTGTAAATTGCTATAATATGATGAACTTGACCTATACTTATGGATATCGCAGCTCAAAATACAAACTGAGAGGGAAGGAATCTTTACATCAAGTATAAATCCTATCCCCTCTGTAGACAGGGTTGATATGGACAGGCAACTTAAACAATGGCTACCTAAAATGGGGGGTTATAAAGGCACAAAGTGGCTTACAAGTTTTCAAGAGGGAGTTTAGTTTCAGAGTGTGCAGGGGAAGGTAGAATCCCCACTGAATAGTTTTCATCTTGTCTAGACAGGTCTGGTGAAAAGAGACGGGGATAAGATTCTTATGATTCAATAGTGAGTAATGGTTATCATGACTAATTGTGACTGTCGCAACAGTAAAGGTAGAAGTTCTGTAACAAAAAGGGGGGACTAGTTAATCTTACAGTCCAGGAACAGAGGACCCTAGGGCCATCAAGGGGGAAGAGCATAAGCAGAATGTGGGACCCTATCCAGAGAAGCGGCAACAACAGAAATGGAGGAAGAAATGTGGACGTGGAGAGGTAAAGCAGTTGAGGACTCTAGACTCATGGAAAGAGAAAGACTGTGTGCTGGTGGCCAGGAGGCAGGCTTGAAGAATGTGCCCTTTGGTTGTTTAAATGATTATATATTCCTGAGTGTTTCTGTGTACATGCAAAAAATAAAAACAAAAAAACCAGAGGGACTAGAATCAAATACTATTGAATGATGATGCATGGAGGAGATTGTAATCATTGCAATGAAACAATGAATGTAAAACCGATGTTCTCCCATGTAAATTATCATTCAATTCAAAATAAAAACTTAAAAAAAAAAAAAGCCTCAGGTTGCAATATTAAAGGACTCTGCTGGCAAACTACTGAATGATGCAAGAAGCATCAAAAGAAGATGGAAGAAGCACACAGAGTTGTGTATGATCAAGAACCATGGTATTTTAAATAGCCTCATATGCATGTGAAGGTTGGACAATGAATAAGGAAGACCAAAGAAGAGTTGATGAATTTGAATTTTTGAATTATGCTGTTGGAAAAGAAAATCGAATGTATCATGGATTGCCAGAAGAACAAACAAAACTATCTTGAAAGAATGTGCCTTAGAAGCTAGAGGGGCAAAACTTTGTGTTGTATTTTGGACATGTTATCAACAGGGACCAGTCCTTGGAGAAGAACATCATGCTTGGTAAAATTCAATGGCAGTGGGTTAAGATCTGTTGTATTAGATGTCAGACCCTATGCTCATGCTTAAAAGTTATCTTCAAAGCTGAAAATGAATACAAACGAAAACAGTTAATTAAAATAATGAAACTAGAAATAAACTAACAATTAATCATAGATGTATGAAGCTTTTTATGTATTACTTTTACTTTAAAGGATAATTAAGATCTTATCTGATATAAAATTATATGAATGTATGTCTAAAAGTATTTACATAATACTACTGAATAAGGAAATAGTTAATAACCTGTTGCTTGAGTGTTCTAAAAATTCTTTGAAATGGTCTTAATGTTATAAGTAGTAGAGTAGTTACTTCTCACACCAAAACAAATACTAACTTGTACAAGTTGGTATACTTTCCTTCAGTCTCTAGCCTCTGTTCTCTCTCTTTCAACTTAGTCCAGTAAATTGTCTACATTGAAAGTTTGCTATAAGAAGACGGCATGAGAGCAGCCTTGTTACATCAGATTACATGCCATGCCATGTGAAACTTCCTCTGTCAGCATGACAGATCACTGATTTACGTTACATTGTGAATCAGACCAGGCAGTGTATAATTTAGGGTTCTGGGCTTGATAACTTTAGTACTTTCAGTTGGGTAGAGACAAATGTACTGACATATGGCACCAGATCAGTTTATATAAACCTGCCATATTAAGACTTATCTCAGTGACAAAGAAAAGTGCAAAACGTTTTAACATTTTAAATAAGCTACAAGGTAGTCCCTGGATTATGAATGTTCCACTTTCAAACAGCCAATAGATCTGAACCAATCCTGTAAGGTCTATTAAGTTAAAGATTCTTGTTACACACAAAAGTTTGTGGTAGCAAAGTGCTATTATTATTATTACTACTATATTATCAAGCTGAACTCGTTTTAGTACATGATTAATTTTTATGCATAGAAAGGTACACCATATACTTTATACTAAGCATTTGAATAACTGTCATTAGATACAAACTGCACCTAACTGTTAGGGATTTACCTATAAATTTGACTTACAGACAGACAGGAATGAAACTCATTCATAATCTGAAGATTGCTTGTACTTTATGCTCTGATCACAGGATATAAAAACATGTTTGAGAACAACATGTACTTAGTTATCTAATGCTGCTCTAGCAGAAATACCACAGATGAGTGGCTTTAACAAACAAATTTTATTTTCTCACATTTTGTTCTTGTTGTTGTTGTTAAGTGCTGTTGAGTCGGTACCGGCCCATAGTGACCCTGTTTAGGGTTTCTGAGGAGTGGCTGGTGAGTTCCAACGACATTGCGGTTCAAACTGACCTTTTGGTCCAGTGCATTATCCCATAATGCAATACCAGGACTTTGTTTAGGAGGTTTGAATTTCAGGTGTTGGCTCTGTTGTTGTTAGGTGCCATTGAGTCAGTTCTGATTCATAGTGATCCTATATACAACAGAATGTAAAACGGCCCAGTCCTGTGACATCTTCAGCCCATTGCTGCAGATACTGTTTCAGTCCATCTTGTTGGGGGATCTTCCTCTCTTTCACTGACCCTCTACTTTATCAAGCATGATGTCCTTCTCCAGGGATTGGTTCTTCTTGACAATATGTCCCAAGTATGAGAGACAAAGTCTGATTATACTTGCTTCTGTGAGCATTCTGACTATACGTCTTCCAACACAGATTTGTTTGTTCTTTTGGCAGTCCATGATACTTTTAATAATTTTCTCTAAAGCCATCACTCAAATACATTGAGTGTGTACAGTTTTCCTTATTCACTGTCCAACTTTCACATATATATGAGGCTATTGAAAATAACATGGTTTGAGTCAGGTGCACCTTAGTCTTCAAACTGATATTTTAGCTCTTTAATGATTTACAGAGACCTTTAGCAGAAATTTTGCCCAATGCAGTATGTCATTGAATTTCTTAACTGCTGCCTCTGAGTGAGTGTTGGCTGCGGATACAAGCAAAATGAAGTCTCTGACAACTTTAATCCTTTCTCCACTTATTATGATGTTATTTATTGGTCCAGTTTTAAGGATTTTTGTTTTCTTTACATTGAGGTGCAATCCATACTGAAGGCTATATTCTTGGACCTTCATCAGTAAGTGTTACAATATCTCTTCACTTCCAGCAAGCAAGGTTGTGACATCTGCATATTGCAGGGTGTTAATGATGCCATGTTTTAATCCTCCAATCCTGATACCATGCTCTTCTTCATATTATCTAGCTTCTCAGATTATTTGCTCAGCATACAGATTGAATGGGTCAGCTCTGGGGGAAGGCCCTTGTCTGTTGTGAACTTCTGTTCTTGGGGACTCCTCATGTAGTTTGGCATTTCTCATCCCTTTCCTTGTCTTCCTTGCTTACTTGTTTGTTTTAACTTTTTATTGTGAATTGAGTGAAGGTTAATAGACAAGATCATCAGCTTACTTTCAACCAATCATATGTTTTGTTTCACTTCAGTGATTATAATCCCCTCCCTGCAACAACAGTTATTCTACTTCCACCTTGTGGCTTCTCTTTTACATCTTATTTTTCACGAATGAACAAAGCAAAAATGTTCGATGTATACAGACAAAACACAATATATATATTCTTTTATTTATTTATTATTTCAAAATAGCACCTTTATTATATAAAAATGTAAAAATCCAGCAAAACCAGAAATACAGATATATTTTCCTGGGATTTCACATTTGTTGATTTTTATTCATAATCTCTTTTTCAATACAATTTACAACTCTATTCCCATTCCCAACCTGATTATACAAGGTGCTAAGTGGCAGAAAGGTCTGGAATAAATACGTCCCAAAAAGGGCAAAGCTGTGACGCTAAGTGCATGCAATGAGTCCTATGAGGGTAAGGGGAAAGTGTGTTGGAAATAAAATAGAGTAAGACAAGGTAACTGGAAGGTTTTAGCTTAACTTCGTTCAGTCATCCTTGTCTTTTGCTCCATGTTTAAGGATGTGCGTGAACTCAATGTAATTGAAATTCCCCTTTTTGTCAATAAGTGCTTCTCTGTACAGCTCATCCACTTCCTCCTCCGTAAACCGATCTCCCATGGTAGTCAGCAGCTCCCGCAGGTAATCTTCCTGAATGGTGCCTGCTGCTTCTTCATCAAAGCAAGCAAAAGCATTTCTGATAACATCTTCCGGATCTGTCCCATTTAGCTTCTCCCCAAACTTCGTAAGGAACATGGTGAAATTGATGGGACCTGGGGCCTCATTCATCATGGCATCGAGGTAAGAATCAGTTGGATTCTTCCCAAGAGAAGCAAGCATATCATACAGATCTTTCTTGTCGATGAAGCCATCTCTATTCTGATCAATCATGTTGAAGGCCTCTTTGAACTCCTGAATCTGTGACTGGTCAAACATGGCAAACACATTGGATGTTGTGCGCTGAGGGCGCTTCTTGGTCTTGGTCTTTGCCTTTTTGCTCAACATGGTGGCTGTTTAATTCATCGCCAGACACCAGAACTGGGCTGCCCTGCGCGAGGCGACGAGTCTATATATATTCTTTTAAATGTCCAAATGGCACATTTTGCAAGAGCCTCTTGCCCGTAGGCATACTGCCTTTCTCAGTCCATGGGCCTAGACTCCACAGCAGCTCCATGCCAACGCCTCTGCCACCATCTCTGCTGTCGCCACTTTTCTGGGTAGGATTTCATGTTCTGCTCATGTTCTTCCTTCTTAAAGGTCCTGGGATTGTCTGTTCCTGAAATGAAAGATTAACTATTCCCCCTTTTAGTTACACATCTTCTATACTTACAGTTGTGATCATCACAATTAGTGATGATAACAGTTATTCACAACCGAATCATTAAATCCTATCACCATAATCCCCTTTTACCAGATCCATCTGGAAAAAAGGAAAACTATTCAGTGGGGACTCTACCTTACCTGCCTCATTCTGAAGTTAAGCACACTCATGAAAGCTTGTAAGTTAGCCCCGTCATGCCTTTATAGCCTCCCATTTTTGATAACTAATGTCTAGAACACCAAATGGTTTAAATTTAAGAAAGATGTGTGACAAGGTTGTATTCTTTCCCCATACTTATTCAATCTGTATGCTGAGCAAATAATCTGAGAAGCAGGGTTATATGAAGAAAAAGGTGGCATCAGGATTGGAGGAAGACTCATTAACAACCTGCAATATGCAGATAATACAACCTTGCTTGCTGAAAGTGAAAAGGACTTGAAACATTTACTGATGAAGATCAAGGAACACAGCCTTCGGTATGGATTGCATCTTAACGTAAAGAAAACAAAAATCCTCACCACTGGACCAATAAATAATAACATTCTTATCAATGGAGAAAAGATTGGATCAACTATCAACACTCATGGAAGCAGCAGTCAAGAAATCAAAGGATGTATTGCATTAGGCAAGTCTGTTGCACAAGACCTTTTTAAAGTGTTGAAGAGTAAAGATGTCAGCTTGAGGACTAAGGTGCGCCTGATCCAAGCCATGGTATTTTTTAATAACTTCATATGGATGCGAAAGCTGGACAGTGAATAAGGAAGACTGTAGAAGAATTGATGCCATTGAGTTATGGTGTTGGAGGAGAATATTGAAAGTGCCATGTGCTGCCAAAAGAACCGATAGATCCATTTTGGAAGAAGTGCAGCCAGAGTGCTCCTTGGAGGACAAGATGGGCAAACTTCGTCTCTCATACTTCAGACATATTGTCAGGAGGGACCAGTCTCTGGAGAAGGATATCATGTTTGGTAAGGTAGAGGGTCAGAGAAAAAGAGGAAGACCCCCAAAGAGATGGATTGGCCAAGTGTAAGCATCGATGGACTCAAGCGTGGCAACAGTAGTGAGGTTGGCCCAGGATGGGGCAGTGTTTCACTCTGTTGTGCATAAGGTCGTTATGGGTCAGTACTAACTAAGTGGCACCTAACAACAACAACAATAATCAACCCAGTGCACTGAGGAAACAAATTTGGTTGTTGATATGAAGAATACTGGTTGGAATTTTGAACAACTGCATCCATAAACAAAGGTCCAGTTCATCAAATTGTAGGAATTTACACTTGCTCACAGTATCAAGCATCTTTATCTTCATTTGTTCAAGTTCTGGTCAGCTAGCCACACAAACTAGGTCAAGTGGGTGCTAGCTGCAAGCTTGGGAGTTCACACATGCCTTCCCACACTTCAGATCAGCTGGTCACTTCATTTTCAGCTCTAGCTCCAGAGACTAGGTCAGCATCCATGTGCTCAGGAGTTCAGACATTCTCTCTAAACTTCAGACCATCTAGCCCTTCCTCTTCTATCTCTCATCTCACAGTCAATGGGTGTCAGTGGAACATGGCCAATCACAGCCCATGTCTTCATTGCTGTATTTCCCCCACTTCCACTCACAAGTAGACCAGGGTGGTCACTAGCTAGCAAACTAGACTTCTTGTGGGTTCTTTTTGAGTTTCAGTCTTAGAAGGGGATTTCCCCTGATGTACTTATTTTCCTTGCCTTGAAACCTTCAAATCAAAGAGCTTGCTTGAAATTCCAGCAGCCAAACAGTATGTTTTTTTTCTGCTAGTCTTTCTTTTGGTAAGATTCTTCTGTTCTCTCATCTGTTCTGGGTTGGTCTGCATGTTTTTTCAAGTGGGAATGTTCTACCTCAGAAGGTTCTGGGAGGGGCTCACCTTGCTTATTTGTTTGATCTCTTTTATATCTCAAAACAGAATGCTTCCCTTGCACCCTACAGTAATCCTGTCTCATGAAGACACAAAATACAACCTAATCCAAATGTAATTATAACCACAAAACCCCACTATGACTCAGAATTAACTTTTTTTGTTTATTTGTTTGAAGGGTTATTGTTGTTGTTAGGTGACATCAAGTTGGTACTGACTCATAGTGACCCCATGCACAACAGAACGAAATACTGCCCGATCCTGGGCCAACCTCACTACTGTTGCCATGCTTGAGTCCATCAATGCTGACACACTTGGTCAATCCATCTCATTAGGGGTCTTCCTCTTTTTTTCTGACCCTTTACCTTACCTTACCAAACATGATATCCTTTTCCAACAACTGGTCCCTCCTGACAATATGTCTGAAGTATGAGAAATGAAGTTTGCCCATCTTTTCTTCCAAGGAGCACTCTGGCTGCACTTCTTCCAAAGCGGATCATTGGTTCTTGGTAGTTTTCTTTTATTAACGAACCAGAGAAAACAGCACAAACTGACCAAGAAAGGCCAAAGAAGATAGATAGGGTTTCAGTCTGCCTGATTTCCCCACGCATACTGGAATACACCCTCCCACTGAGGGAAGGTCAGTCTTGCATAGGGGCACAGTGCTTTTCTGCTTTTGTGTTATGAGTGGGAAACTCTCCCCCACTCCTCTCATACCCCACTGGAGAGTTTCCCTCACAGGCATAAACCAGCACATTTAAGATCTATAAACAGGACTCTTGATAAACATTATCCCACTTTGCAACTTTTTCACATCTCTGAAAGATTCTTTTTTTTTTATTTAATTGAAATAGAACATATAGAGACAGATAATAAACCCAGCCCATTAGATACTATTGTTCTTTTCTTCTCTGCTGCTTAATAGAATAGATCCAGGTTTATTCCTCTCACACTCAGGAAATAAGACCTCTGATATTAAGAATTTTCAATAGTATGAACATACATTTTCTGATCTGATCCTCATAACTGCCCTGTGAGGTAAGCAGGGCAGACATTCTGATTATAGGATCCATAGGACAGGGTCATAACTGGTGGAGGGTTCTGGTCCAGAACCCCTTCCACTCCATATGACGGACTGGTGAACTGACTTCACTGTAATGAGAAGAGAGGCCTTGCTGCTTAGAATAGATTAGTTATCCTTTGAGCTTGCACATAAAGGGGATTTTAAGTTCAGGGAGGTCAGGGGATATAGGCACCTAAGCTCAGTTAAGCATCAGAGGGATGAGTAGGATAACTTAACCACTGTTGAGCTTATTCTGAGTCATAGTGACACTATATGACACATTAAAATGATCCCCCTGTGGTTTTCACTGTTAGAATGTTTATGGAAGCATACTGACACATCTTTCTCTCACAGTGTGGCTGATGGGTCTGAACCATGGATCTTTCAGTTAGCAGCTGAGCTCTTAATCACTGCAGCACCAGGGCTCTTTAACCATAGGGATGTTGTTGTTGTTGTCAGGTGCCATCAAGTCGGAACCGACTCATAGCGACCCCATGCACAGCAGAACAAAAAAATGTCCGATCCTGGGCCAACCTCACTACTGCTGCCACACTTGACGCCATCAATGATGCTACCTGGCCGATCCATCTCATTGGGGGTCTTCCTCTTTTTCTCTGACCCTCCATCTTACCCAGCATGACATCCTTCTCCAGCAACTGGTCCCTCCTGACAATATGTCCAAAGCATGAGAGACGAAGCTTAGCCATCCTGGCCTCCAAGGAGCACTCTGGCTGCACTTCTTCCAAAACAGATCTATTGGTTCTTTTGGCAGTCCATGGCACTTTTAGTATTCTCCTCCATCACCACAATTCAAAGGCACCAATTCTTCTACGGTCTTCCTTATTCACTGTCCAGCTTTCACATCCATATGAGGTTATTGAAAATACTATGGCTTGGGTCAGGTGCACCTTAGTCCTCAAGGTGATATCTTTGCTCTTCAATACTTTAAAAACCATAGGGATAGGAGTTAGGATTTACAATAAAGTCATGTGCTGCATAACATACTTTTGGGCAACATCTTACTGCATATGTGCTCATGGCCTATATGATTATAATGGAGTTCAGAAATCTGGATCAGAGAAATAGGCATTGTGAACTCAACAGCTTCCCACACTTGACATGGATATGTCTCTTTTATACACAGTGATTGCATTGCCAGGCAGATAATGTTAAGTTATTGCTATTGTTTAGTGCTGTGGAGTTGGTTCCCATTCAAAGTGACCATGCATAGGGTTGTAAGGAGTGACTGGTGGGTTTGAACGCCCAGACCTTGAGGTTAGCAGTCCAGTGCTTATCCTACAGCACCACACCAGGACTCCATACAATGTTATAGTAAACTCTTTAATTTTCTTTTGAAATTATGATGGTGAAGCATATCATGGCTCTAAAACTCAACAAAGCCAGTGGCAGTAATAGCAGCAACAACTAGGATGTGAAACAAAAGATAATAAACAACACAAAGGTGGGAAAATCAGTGAACACTATTTCTCATGATTTGGGCATGCCACACTCAACCATTACAATGGTCTTAAAAACAAAGAAAATAAAGTCTCCGACCTATTAAATAATCAATCCTACGGAAATTCACAAGGCTAATGAAAATGCAAGACAGACCTATAGTAGACGGGCACATTTCTAATTTTTAATGATGTGACGTGAGAACCAAACACAAATGGAATCCCTGTCAAACCACTAGTGATCACTTCTTAGGCACAAAACTTGTTTAAGATGCTTAAAGAAAAAGTCGGACCATAACGGTATGGTGTTCATA